GGTGGAATCAATTTCGAAGTACACTTCGTTTGTCTATATTACCTAAATAAGTCCATCGGTGAAAAAAAGAACACGTGTCTTACCATAAACTTTCTGTTAGGTTCAAACCCTAATCCCTTCAGATTTTACAGTCTCAGATATGCAAGCTGCATAGCTCAACGATAGCTTATGGAATTGTGCAACTAGTTGTTACCAGCGCACCAGTTCTTTCAAGATTTCAAGTGTGCTTTAACTGCTTAATAGCAAACTAGTAGAAAATCTCTGTCCTACTGACAACCCTAGATTATATATATAGCCTGATAGAAACAACTGAATTGTTTTTTGTACTTAAACTAAAACTCACCCTCACACTTTGTCCCATTAAAACAGATTTCTATCATATAAACTATCCTTTTCTTGTGTGTGTGTGCGTGTGTGTGTATATATACACAACAAAGGTGTAACAATGAACACAAAAATTGATTTTATTTTCTCTCTCCTACCTATTCGTCTTTTTTTTTTAACAATCTTATTTATTCACAAATACCTGCGAAATAGTTTGTTTTTTTCTTTAGTAAATTTAATAATTTTTTTTTTTACTTTCAATATTTATTATTGTGATTATTTATAAATATTGTGACACAATTGAATTCATAATCCCGTAGTAGCTGCTTACTCAATGTTTCACCTTTTTTCAGTCACATTTGTCAGATTGAAATTGTGCTTTGTCTATTTCAGATTAGGTGACTGCTGATTAGAGAGTATCATTAGCCTTTTTTTTACATGCTTAAAGTATTGTTTTTCATATGTAAGTATCGAGTGAACAGAAGTAGACAACTATATAGATTGATTAAACGAAACTAGTCTTAAGAATCTGGCTATTAGCGAAAGTCTCTCTCTCGAACAAAAGCGGATCTACCATTTATTCTCAGTCCAGGAGATTGAATATCCATGGTCAAAACACTTTAGCGAACAATTTAACTACCTTTCAACAACACATTACTACCCACCATCTCTAAACAACTTGAATGGCAAATCCATTGACATGTCTTCAGCGGTAACATTATTTTCATCTGACGTTTTAGGGGTGAGTGGAGACTCGTTTGTTGACTTAGAATATGCCGATGACATAGTTCTGCTTGGTGAAGACGTTGACAAAATGCAGTCTTCCGACTAACCTAAGCAACAATGCAGGCATACTCGGGATGCGGTTTTCTTCCTCGAAATGCAAAATGTTGCTTCAGTATCGGGTTGCATCGGCACCTGAACTAGTGGTAGGGAGTGAAGTAGTCAAGCGTGAAGACCTCTGCACTTATCGCGGGACTCGTCAGTGCTAATGATCAGGTGTCTAACCACATCCCAGCTCGTATACAGAAGGCTTGACTAGCTTTTGCCAACCTGCATCACTTATGGCATAGGCTAGATATCCGTTTGCTAACCAAAGGACGAGTCCATGTAGTTATTGACAACTGGATTGAGCCTTGTCAGTGGGTGTAGACTATCTAGTTTGGATCAGCGATATAATAGTAGCCGATGGTTTGTAATGGCGCAGGTGCATCAGCTCTTTGTGTTCTCTCAAATTGTAATCGGCTGAATTGCTTACCACCTCTATCTTTCCCTTTTTGAGTTTATTTCATTGGATTATATTTCCTGATTAATATCTTCGAACCCTAATCTCTCTCCTTTACTCGTATGGAATTTCAGTTGACAGTTGCGTATCTGTGCTAACGTGGTTTGGCAACTTGAACTGATGTACGTATATGTACCGAGTTCTACGTTGCTCTGTCTGACTGACTATAAGTATCAGGTGTAATCATTAGGTTATAAGTAAGGAAAGTGAGAGTAAACCACAATTTTTAGGTAATCTCGGTTAGGAATGTGGTATGGCAACTTGAAATTATATACGTACGTACCAAGTTCTATGTTGTTACTGACTGACTAACTGATAATCTCTGTTATGACTTAACAACCCACTGACTAGTAGCACACGATAAGATCTGCAATCAAAATATCTATATAATCTATAATCTTCATCCTCAGTTAAACATTGACGTGCCAACTAGCACTGTAAGCCTTGAGTTACTGTTACGTTTTTGTTGGTCCTCTATTCGATAGCTGTTTTCATGCCTTGTGTGTTCAGTCGAGAATACATTAGTCAACCTCACCGTTCTAATCATAATTGACCGCATCACACCAATAGGTGGAGTATAACTTGAATAAGCCAAAAAGTCGTGAGTAGTATTTATAATTCATAAATTCGGTTCCTAAGTTACTATAAGTTTAATATTCGTTCACATATAACAGTCTCTACCTACCAACATGGTTCATTGCAACAGTTAACTAACTTTATAGACTAATTCTAAGTTTTGATTTGGTGACTGTTTTTTTCATTTAAAATCGTGAATCAATCATTGTTTGACCACCATTTAAAATATTTTAGTATGGGACTCATTAGCAATGCGAGTCCATGATCCCCAATCGCGGGAATCGATTCCGTGACTTTTAAAATCTCGCGTGAAAACGCCTAACATCAGGACCACTCGGCTGGTATCAAACAGTATCAATGTCCAACTATGATCAGTCTATGGTATTGCGTAACCCGAACCCATTGTCTTCTATAGGTAACTGCATACATCTGACAGGGTCGTACTCCACTGGTCACAATAATCGATTTCTGATTTCAAATGAAAAGGCAACATTATTCATATCTATCTAATGAATCTTAGTGACTGTTATCTTTCTTTGAACTTAATTTTATTACCAAGAAACATCTCTTAAAAACATAGATCAATAGTTAGATCACACAGATAATATTAATTCAATACAGATGACTTACAAGTACATCCCATCGGGGCTGTTGATACATTAACAGCTTTTAATAAATAAACTGTAGCTTTATGTTTGTAGTTAAGACTTGAAATAGTTAGTTAAGTTTCAATATTCTACAATAGTTTTTCTGTTAAATTACCTTCAAAAAAATAATGTATACACATGTTATCACATGTTCACTGTTTGTATTATCGACAAGATAAACTACAATTTCTTCTATCATGTATGCAAATACCAGTTTATGGTGTGTGTGTGTGTGTGTGTATAGATACAAATTTTCCACACATTATTACCTATAATATTATCTTATACATATCTTAATGAATCAATCGACCTATAATTAGCTGGATTGTTAAGATCACTTCTAATCTAGCTTACTTTCCAGACACTTCCACGATATGGTTAACGGCGAAATGATAGCCTCTAGAACACTGCTTACAAAGTGTGAGACTGATTGAATTTTTAGCTACTTAATGAAGGTTAATTTCACTGCTTATCTATATATTAAAAAGATAATATATATATTATTTTTGATAAATCTCGACGTGAAACGATATTAGTTGTTGGGTTTTCGATTGGCCGACAGTAATTTCTATTGACAAGCGGTTGAAGATTGTTCTCATCATACAAGTCAAAGAATGTGAACTCGCATGGACCCGATGTCCGTCAGATAACAACACTTCAACATCAGTAATCTATACACTAGTAAGAAGAAGACAATACCTACATGATAACTTTAAATGTCATATACATAACCTGGTGCGGCGGATAGTGGGGAGAGTTCATCCTCTGCTCTTCAAGTACTCTCGCATGACCACGAGAGTATAACCACTGACAGGGAAGTTCTACTCACTACCTTCTCATAATTGGGTTGTTGGTTACGAAATTGCGAGAAAATCATCACGTGCTCATTCGATCGGGGCTTAAACCAGATTCGTGCGTTCAAAACATGAGAAAACCCTGATTCCAAACTAACTATGTACATAAGCTCCAGTATCTTGACGAAACCAATGGTGCATGAACCTACTTTAGTCACCTGCTACCATGGGACTGCATCTCTTAACGTTGCCCTGCTGCCTTGTGGATTAGACTTTTGGGCCAAAGGCCTCAAGATTGGCCTCTTTAAAAAACCATCTGCTTCGGTTTCGGCAACCCAAACATCATTTCAACCCACTCACAAATTCGACAATTTGTATGTCACATAAATATTTGAATGCCACTTTGTACCAATCTGTCGAAATAAAAATAAAATAACAGTCAAGAATGTTGGAAAAGAAAAATGTTGTTTTCATTGTAACACTCAATAATGACCTTGGAGCAGATAACAAAATTAATAAACTGAAAGTGATGACAACCAATTACGTAACAGCAACTACTATTGAGCAAATATATGGATTGAGAAAAAATCTCATGGACATAATCCTGAATTAACAAGATTTCTTTTCAACATAAAATCTTTTCACAAAAGATGAAAATTCTTCCATAAACGTGATAAGTGGAATTCAACCATGCTTCGGTGTAGGCAGTAACTACCAAAGACAATTGGGTGAGATTGCATAAAATCCCTAGATCGATTAAAGCTATGCATTCATATCATTGGATTGATCTAGGGGTTAAGCGTTCGCGCACAATGCCGAATGTCCTGGGTTCGAATCTTGCTAGTAGTAGCAATAGTCGTGGGTGCGCCTTGCTGATGATGGGTTTCATATCATGACGAGACGGCCGTTCAGTGGTTTGAGGTTAATAATGGTAGTCTAACAATGATTCACTCATGATTTCAATGTAAAACAACGCTGTAACGCGCCTAAACCAGAAATATGAAACGATTTTTAATTCATTTCATCAATCAAGAGACATATATTACAACACTTAGACAACACTTAGGATGATGTATTTATTTTACAATCTAGACATAAAAGGGCTAATGTTTATTTCTTGATAAAAACTTCATTTTAATATATTGATCCAGAAACAGGATGCAAGACCACCTTTTTTGACTCGGTGATATATTATCTCTGTCCCAATTTGGTTTCTGTAATTCTTATATATATATATATATATATATATATATATATATATATATATATATATATATATATATTTGTTAAAGTATTTTATTGGATTTTTTCTCTTATTCTCTCTTTTCATATAAAAAAAATTCAATTCAACCAACCATTGGAAATTATCTTCAGTCTTTGACAAATGGTAAGTTTTTATTGGAAAAAAAAGTATTTTATTGTTTCATGTAAGATGATGATGATGATGATGATCCTTTCTTTATTGGATTAATTCTTTATGGTATATTGAACAAGTTGAAATGTTGTTACAGATTAAAGAAACAACTGGAGATTTGTTGTTATTTGGAAATTTTTTTTTTTAAAAAAAAAGTCTTTTCTTATCATTTAAATTTATGTGAATAATTATTTGTCTCCTGTGTAAATAATAATCATAATGGTTGGTTTTGATGTATCTCCAACTTTGTGACCATTAATTAAATTCAGGCAGAAAATCATTGAGAAAAACAATTACTTACTTATACTGGGGACATTTTATCATTATGTTCAAAATATACATACAATATCTTTGATTATGTAGGTAGGGGGATAGTTGTGAATCGATCAATGTTATAAACCACCATTAGAAACCTGGAAGCAGTGCATAGCTATTTCGCTTAGGGACTAACTAATCAGTGCACATTCACGACTCCTGCTCACGGGAATCGAACTCAGGAATTTCGGTTTCGCGCGCGAACTCTTAACCTCTAGACCACTGAGCCGTTGTCTAACTTTGATGTTCAGTCCAAGGTATTGCGCAACCTCACCCATTCTCTTTAGTAGTTAACTGCCTACAATTGACAGGGTTGAACTCCGTTGGTCTTAGCTTCTTGCTAATGACTAGCTTCATGAGGAAATTCTTGAAGTTCTAATGGGAAGCCATGACCAGTTGAGTTCAACTGCGTGAAGAGTAAGGCAATTACTAACCGAAGACGAGGGATGCGGTTGTATTTTATCATGGGTCAATTTAAGTTAGACATTAATACTGTTGCGTGTCGAATTAGTGATCAAGAGATTAGGCGTTCGTGGAGGAAACTGAAGATTCTGGGTTTGATTCTCATTTGTAGGGTTGTCGTTGTGCATTGTTGACTACTAGTCCCATACCAGGACGAAACAACTGTTCAGCGTTCCTAGATTTCCATTCGTTGTCTAGTACTAATCGATTTTTATGATTTCAAACATAATCTTTCTTATCACTTTATTTTTATTTAGTTTTTTTAAAACAGTCAATTAGGTGTCCTTGGGTTTATTTGTGTATGTCTGTGTGTGTGTGTGTTTGTGTCTAGAAGTAATGTGTAATTCATCATTTCAGCAAAGAGTACATATCTGTTTTTTATTTTCAAGTCTAAAATTTTTTTTAGGTAAAAAGTCATAGGTTTCTCGCATTTTTAAATAGTATGTATAGAATAACATATAGAATTTCAGCACCAAAGTTTATTTATATTTAAATCAATTTATCGGTGATTATTACTCGGTTGATCAGATAAATTACACATATCTGTTTTACATTATATTATAAAAAATTACCTCGTTAGTAATTAATGTATTCATGAGTTCTTGTAAACATCGTAATTTAACTATTGTCATGTTGTCTATCTCCTTACTCTTCTATTCATTCAACTCTACAGTTGAATTATAATGCGAATTTGTTCAGTCTTTGCATATGGTGTTCGATCCTGACTGTAGCTGCTACCTTGACGTAGTGGTCGGGCTTGCCTATCGTGATGGCCCAACCGAGCTATATTGGCTGGAACGGATGTTCCTCCCATGGTCCACCATGCCAAGCAAGTCGATTGGGCAACGCTGAGATTAAAAGCAGCAATTCAAGGTCTGAAGGCGAATTCGTACTGCTGACTGCAGAGGGATGTGACAGCAGTAAGGTGTTTCCCTCGAGCAACCAGCATCTGCTGCGGTTCTGCCTTCTGACAAGGAAGGAGAGGATTCGAAAATGTCGACCCTGAAAATTTCACACCTCACCTTACTTCACGGATTTCCATCCCTGGCTATAAGGCCTTTTAAAGAGATAAGCTAAAACTCCAGAAAATTTCCATCAAAAGGCTATGTAAATACTTTATTTGTCTTCTTTAATTATATCTCACTAATCACTCTGGTCTTGAAGTCTTTGTTCATCACATCAATTTATTGAGCTCAATTCTCAATGTACAAATAAACATTTTAAATATGTGAATGAGCACTAGTAATGTAAATTCTATGCAATTCCTATTTCGATAGTGTTTTTATATTCTATTTGCAAACGATTGGCAGTAAACTATGCCTGCGCTGTCACTGTTGACGGTAAGAAAACATAGAAGTAGTCGGAACATTATAAGAGTGTAATTTTATGAGTGCTAATCAGCATCATATTCTTTGCCATCATGATTTTAGTCTGTTTATGAAAAGTTTGGTTTTATAATGCGCCGGTGGGAGCAGTTCAATTGTATGCTTGTGAGATATAGTCTCTCTGTATTGCGTATGTCCAGTAACTCTTTGCATCTGATCATCTTAGATTTCTGACCGTCGTTGCGGAAGTTCAACAATTTGTTTTCAAGCCTAGCGATAATATCTCAATTGATGTGAGCATCTTCAGTGACTTAGACACAGGTACTATGAATGTTATCTCAAGGACTTTTAAAACTTGCATGGTTGGAAAAAGGAGAGCGAAGATCAATTTTATGACAATTTGTCATGGCTTGAAAGAAATTTGTATAGGATTGGAATGTGTCGTTTGTTCCTAACTCTCTAGTTAGGTTCCTAGACGTGTTATAACTCAATAGCTGAAGACGTTATCAGATATAGCTCAGAATAGAAGCCACTCATTGTTCTACTGTAACTTTCTCCTACTTTCTTCATAAAAATAAAGGAAATTACTTTACCTAAAAATATCTCTGGTTGTATTTTTCTTAACTAAACTATGTTTCTCGTTATATACTACTTTTATTCATTCATTGTTTTTAAGTACCATCTCCATCTCCTCTCTTCTTATCTTCACACAATCTCATATTTTTGCGCATATGGTGCATATTTATTTCGGTGCCCGGTTGTACCAATATTTATATGCCCTAAATCAATAAGTTATGTTGTACTTAATTCAATTTGATATGGTTTGGATAATCTTGTTGTTAATATTTTCTAACTGAGATTTTTGATCAGTCTTGGTTGACATATGGGGGCATCTTATGAATATTGCCTTGATATTGTCATTATGCAACAGGAATTGAGCTGACGAGTACAATTTTATTAGTTAGAAGTTTGTTGTAAATTACAATTGCTTACAAAATAAGTCATATTTCGTGAATTTGTTTTGTGATTGAAGAAATATCCTGCACAATAAATCTATTCTCTTTGCTTATGACTAATTATCAAACAAATTCTTATGATAAGTTAGGAGAAAATTGAAGTATGAATAGATCAAAACATAACATTATATTTCATGAAGTTGCTGACTGTCAGTTTGAGTCATGTGTGTAGGTAGGTATAGGTTATCTAGTCGGTTAGAGTATACGCGATAAGCACGATCAATGGTTAAAGACTCGGAATCGTATAATTTAGAATCACTCGATATATATATATATATATATATATATATATATATATATATATTTATGTACAACCCCTTACTGACAGTTATTACGTGCTCACTGTAGGGAATTTCCAGAGTACTAGTGATAAACCGTAACCAACGTAACAAGACCTGATTAACGGTGAAGTGGTCACTCACAGGAAGGGAATGAAATATGCTTATGCACTAACGTGGATTGATTGAAGCTAGATATTCTTACCGTTGGGTTAAGTTCCCGGTCGCTGGGCTATGAATGTACACTGTTGAGGATATCTAATTAGAACGAAATAACCATTCAGTGCTTCCAAGTTTTCAATAGTGTTCGAACGGAACATGTTGGGGAGCTCTGAAGTATCTCTCAGAAAAGTCTATACTGGCTATGAAACACCGGTTAGGATTTCATCCAATCAGCACTGAATAGATCCTTTATAGAAACTTCTAGAAAACGCATAATCACACGCCATGATTCCGATTGGATTTTTAGCCATACTATTTTTCGTATGATTCTCGAACCCTCCTAGAAGCCTAGGAGGTTCACAAGTAACTCTATAAATACCCTCATTTTTCTGTACATAAGCCCAACCTTAGTGTAGATCGTTCTTCTGGTACTTCTCGGCTTCTATCTTATGTTCAAGTTACTGTGTAGATTTTGTCTTTAGGTTATTTAGAAGCCGATAGGAATTCAAATCTTTCATTCGTTTAGCAGACTTATCAGATCATTAAAATTTAACTCATGGATAAAATAGACAACATAATAAGACAGATCTAAGGACAATTTCGTATCGTCGAATTTTACTGCTGTTGTTGTTGTTGTTGTCTGTCATCGTCCTACACACACACACACACTTTCAAATGACTCTGTTAAACCCTTTTGAGCTATCTAAATCAATTGTTTGTGTAACTTGTAAATTATTATTATCAGCTTGGAAATTGAGAAGAATAGAATTATTGAGTAAGTCAGTTATTCCATGTTTATTTATAGTAAATAATCCATGTGAAGTTGTTCGTCTTGTTCACTTTGGTTCTATTCTCTTTAATGGTTCATTCCTCTCTCTCTTTCTATAGTTATTCAATCAAAACTATTTGATATTGTGTGAGCAGGCTAGAAGAAAGCTAGATATGTCTAAATCAAACTATGTGATCCATTCTATAAAGTCATTTGGTTATAACCGGAGTAGAGAGTGTAAACTAATGCAAACTACTTGAATGAAATCAGCCAGATTATCATCATAATCAGTAATTGGAAACATTGTCTATTGTAACTTTTTGAATCGGTCGTAGATATGCTAATGTCCACATTCTTTTTTACTATGCAAATTCATTCTTTCTTCTTGAATCATATAGCTTATGTCGAATTTTCTCTACTATGAATAATACTGTAATTTACCATTGATGCTACTACTACTATAGGATTTGAAATGACAATTCAATCTCTCTGTGCTAATGTGGTGGTATGGCAACTTGAACTGATGTACGTACGTTTATCAAGTTGTACGTTGTAGTTGCCTGACTGACTGACGACTGACTGTCATTACTTCTGCTATTATTGTATTTGTTATCATAATTTGATCGCGCAACTTGAACCGTTGCGTATAAATGTGCTTTGTTGTATGCTGTTTACGATTAACTTACTTATGCTTATTACCCTTTGTGGAGCGGTCGGTCAGCAGTCTCTGACTGACTCTGTCCTGTTCTCTCCTTTTCAATTCTTCCTTTGATGTCTGTCTCTTATTCCCAATACAATAACTTGTTTGATCTTCCTCTTTTCCTTTTGCCTTGAAGATTCCAAGCTAAGGCTTATCTTGCGACATTGTTTGATGATTTCTGTAATGTGTGTCCTATCCACCTCCAGCGCTTTTTTCTTAGTTTTTCCTCAACTGGAATCGGATTTGTTCTCGCCTATTCAAATGATCGTCCCACAGTCATCCGTAAAGTCGCGATTTTGTCGATACACGATCAATCCTTATGGAATCCAGTCTAGTGATCTTGAAGTTGGGCGTCTACTGAATTTCTCATTCTGTTCAACAACACTGTTGAAGACCTTTTGTTGTAACGCTTGCTTAGATAATTTCCAGTTAATTCCTATTGCTTAGTATTCTCTGACCACAATACACTGGGCAAGTTCCAAAGAATCAAGAACACGGTGGAACAGGAAAAGATTATATTCCAAATGGCAAGGTTAGATGGAAATAAGAAGCCAAAGTGATGGCGAAGGCAAAAATAGATAGAACGTTAGATTCTCCATAGTATTTTCATGAGAAGCTAGATTGTAATTCACGTGATCAACTGTATTAGATTTAGCCAATCAGCATGCAGCTAACAATACGAGAATTTTCTACCCTGTTCTCCAAGAATCGATCAGGCGCTGATTGGATAGGAAATTAGCCAATCAGCGCCTTCCAACGTAGTCATGCTTTAATTTCATCTATGTCCCACTAACACGTTTCCTGGTATTGAGAGTAGAGTATTGATGCATCTGTAGTTCTCACACTTTGTGAGATCTCTCTTCTTTGGTGTCTTGATGAGGTGTCCTACTTTCCAGTCTGTTGGTACTTGTTCTTCATCCCAAATCTTGCTGAAGAGAATGTGTAAAGTATCTTTACAGTTATTTCTATGTCTATTTTGATTGCTCCAACTGATGTGTTGTCCAATCCTTCTGCTTTACCATTCTTGATTGGGTACTCAGCTGTTTATAATTTTCACTATTTGCCTTAAACTAAAATCAACAATGGTTTATCGATAGACACACTCTAAAAGTGCATTCTTTTTTTTTCTCGCTTATTTAATTACACCATAAGAATTGAGTTTAATATTCTAAAAAAGAAACTTATGTAAACACTGTAGACTATATCATTCATTCCACAATCATATTGATTTTCGTTATCATCCAATCTAATCATTGATACGAATGGAATAAATAGTAATTAGCAAAGATATACACAAATTAATAATCAATCATTTGAACCTGTGCACATAATTTTTTTCGAGTAAATCGTTCAAACTGTCAGCTGTACTTTGTTTTTTTTTTAAGAAAAAAATATTCATTATTGATGCTTAATCGAAACAAAATATAATCTTTATGTCTCTTTCGTTGTGTTTATGTTTATATGTACAGCTTAGTTAATTACCATTATTTTCACATGTATCCTTTTTTAATGATGATTGATACATCACATTAGTCAAGTATTCTTGTGTTTCGACTACGTCATCATTATCATCTACTCAAAATTTTTTGGATTCTTTAGCTGAAAAACATTCTATTTATAGATCAGTTACTTTACCTAGCCCCTCCCTACTTACTTACTTACTTACTTACTTACTTACTTACTTACTTACTTACTTACTTACTTACTTACTTACTTACTTACTTACTTACTTACTTACTTACTTACTTACTTACTTACTTACTTACTTACTTACTTACTTACTTACTTACTTACTTACTTACTTACTTACTTACTTACTTACTTACTTACTTACTTACTTACTTACTTACTTACTTACTTACTTACTTACTTACTTACTTACTTACTTACTTACTTACTTACTTACTTACTTACTTACTTACTTACTTACTTACTTACTTACTTACTTACTTACTTACTTACTTACTTACTTACTTACTTACTTACTTACTTACTTACTTACTTACTTACTTACTTACTTACTTACTTACTTACTTACTTACTTACTTACTTACTTACTTACTTACTTACTTACTTACTTACTTACTTACTTACTTACTTACTTACTTACTTACTTACTTACTTACTTACTTACTTACTTACTTACTTACTTACTTACTTACTTACTTACTTACTTACTTACTTACTTACTTACTTACTTACTTACTTACTTACTTACTTACTTACTTACTTACTTACTTACTTACTTACTTACTTACTTACTTACTTACTTACTTACTTACTTACTTACTTACTTACTTACTTACTTACTTACTTACTTACTTACTTACTTACTTACTTACTTACTTACTTACTTACTTACTTACTTACTTACTTACTTACTTACTTACTTACTTACTTACTTACTTACTTACTTACTTACTTACTTACTTACTTACTTACTTACTTACTTACTTACTTACTTACTTACTTACTTACTTACTTACTTACTTACTTACTTACTTACTTACTTACTTACTTACTTACTTACTTACTTACTTACTTACTTACTTACTTACTTACTTACTTACTTACTTACTTACTTACTTACTTACTTACTTACTTACTTACTTACTTACTTACTTACTTACTTACTTACTTACTTACTTACTTACTTACTTACTTACTTACTTACTTACTTACTTACTTACTTACTTACTTACTTACTTACTTACTTACTTACTTACTTACTTACTTACTTACTTACTTACTTACTTACTTACTTACTTACTTACTTACTTACTTACTTACTTACTTACTTACTTACTTACTTACTTACTTACTTACTTACTTACTTACTTACTTACTTACTTACTTACTTACTTACTTACTTACTTACTTACTTACTTACTTTCCTTTTTGCATACTGACACACACAGCTCACCCACCCATAGACCAACCGTTGACTAAGTAGCAACATAGATCCATGCAATTTTAGACTCTCTTGTACTATTGGCCGCTGGTTGATTGTTTACTATGCCTAACATGAATAATGACATTGAAATTTTACAATTCATTGATTTAAGAAAAGATATTAAACCTTTTTTATAGTTATAATATAAAATCACCTAAGATATTGGATATTTTTATGTTTTAATTGCTCTTTATTACCAAATATTTAATAGGACAGATTGTCATTGTTACCATTAATTTTTTTGTTTATAAATTATCCATGGTATTTAATTGGTAATCATTGTTTTTGGTAATGATTTTTTCTTCTGTTTGTGTATAACCTTTTTTCATGAAAATAGATCAGTTAGCCAAAAATAATATAATACTAAACACAAATCTGCATCAGCTTGAATTATTATCGCTCACTGTTAGATTACCATTAAAAACCTGAAAGCACCGAATGGTTGCTTCATCGTATTCTACGCGAGACTCTTCATCAGTGCATATCCATAAACCCACCCGCAAGCGGTAGTCAAACCCAGGACTCGCGGTCTCGAGCTCAAATACTTACCCTAAACCACTGAGCCGTTATCCAACCGTATTAATGTCTAACTTCAATGAACCCACGATATTATGCGACCTCATCTTTTGCCTTTGGTTAGTAACTGCCTCACACACGACACGGTCGAACTGCCCCGATCACGGCTCCTCACTAGAACTCCAAAAATTGCATTTGAAAGATAGTCACCAATGAGTAGATGATAATTATCAGTATAAGGTTGTGGAGATTGTTGAGATTCATTTGTGATGGTCACACATTATCGTAAATTTATTGAAGCTCGACATTAACATTGTTGAATTTCAGCTCAGTGTTCAAAAGTTCATCCGTAAGTTCAAAGGTCCTGGGTTCGATTCCTGCATGCCGGGTCGTGGAAGTGCACTAACTAAGGAGTTCCTATCCATATGAAGATGAAACCGTCATATCGTGCTTTTAGGTTTTCAATGTTGGTGTAACATTGAAAAAATAGCTATTGATTACTGATTTCATGTATTCAATTCAAAATTATATCTGACTTCATATCGGTACATCATTTTTTCGCTTTATACTTTTTTTCTGTCACTTTAATTAGATTCAAATTTTGAATCACTTCCAGCAAGTTCTTCCAATTCTGACACAGATCCTGTTCAAGCAACAGATTTGTCTAGTTCAGAAACAACAACAGCAACAACAACAAATTCTACCTCACGCATAGACTCTCCATCGAATGAAGAAGTAGAAGAAGGCGGACTAGATCATGTAGACAGAAATCGAAAAGTTGGTGATATTGTTTTAGGCTTAGATCTTGCTCCAGGTGAAGAACCACTTCCACAAGGTTGGGAATTAGCTAGAACTGCAAGTGGTCGAAAATTTTTCATTAATCATAATGAACATACTACTACATGGGTTAGTATTAATGCTTTTTTTTGTAAACAATGTTACTTTAAATAGTAGTTATTAGGAAATAATGTCATTTAATACATATTCTGTAGTAGTAATTTTTATAGTTTCTCTTTCTTCTGGTGGTGGTCGACTGAATTAAGTAGATCTCAACATACACAATGGAAAAATGGAGATCCTTAGATGCGGCACTACTTGAACCAACCAAATCACACATGATGGAGAAGTTTTGGAGTATGTAGGAACCTTCACATATTTGGGCAGCATCATCGATAAAGAATTGGTTATGATACAGATGTAAAGACTCAGATTAGCAAAAGAACAGTAACATTTCTACAACTGAAGAACATCTGGGACTCAAAACAACTATCAACTAACACCAAAGTTAAAAATTTCAATATAAATGTCAAGACAATTCTATTGACTTGAGCGGAGACTTGAAGAACTACGAAAGCCATCATCCAGAAAATACACAGGTGTTTATTAACACTTGTCTACGCAGAATACTTCGGATCCTTTGGCTAGACACTATCATCAACAACCTTCTGTGGGAAAGAACAACCTAGATTCCAACTGAGGAAGAAATTAAGAAGAAGTATTGGAGGTGAATAGGACACATTGGGGAAAGCACCCAACTACGTCACAAGACAAGCCCTAACTTAGAATCCTTAAGGCCGAAAGACAGGAAGAAGACCGAAGAACATATTTCTTCGGGAAATGGAGACAGAGATGAGAAGAATAAAGAACATTTGGACAGAACTAGAAAGCAAAGAGAATTCCTTCATGATACACTCACTCTTTTGGTGGCCAATTTTTTCGAAGCATTCATTATTTATAATGTATGTGTGTTTGTGTATGTGGCATTGTGTATATTTTATTGATTGCAGCCTACCCATATTGATTGATTATTCTCCATTTTAATGCATCATCATATATGAAACAAATCACATGTTCCATCTTTTCATTTACTTGAATTTTTTTTCTCCTCTGTATAAAACTAAATAACACTTTTTTCTATACAACCATTTTAAGTATTTTCTCACTGAAGAAGTAGTAGTATACATAGACACGTTTATGAGTAATACACTTTATGCATTAGAAGAATACTTTTTTTGTGCATTGTTTCCATATGTATCACGTGATTGTAGGAATAAAAACATTTACTGTATAACTATGCTTCAAGAGTATGGTTGAAAAATATACTGCTACTACTACTACCAATAATAATACTGAAGTACTTTCTAAACTTCATCAATCTATCCACCGTTGTATTTGATAAGTTCAATTTTGTTGTTGTTGCTGTTGTTACTGGTTAATTAATCAATTAATTTGATCAGGTGATTCGTGGAGTCCTCATGAGAAACTGTCTCACGATTGGAACTCAGTCATATAGAATGTATGAGATTGTTAACGAATCTAAGCTGATGTCATACAATATTGTGCTTTGATATCAGTCAGTTACAATGTAGAACTTCATACGTAAGTATATCAGTTCAAGTTGCTATTACCACATTAGCACAGAGATAAAATTCTCAATTCAAATCCCATAGTAGCAGAGGTAGTAAAAGTATTAGAATCAGTCGGAGAGATTAGGGTTCGAAGATGTTGTTCAAGAAGTATGATTGAATGAGAAATGTTTAGAAAGTCAAAACTAGAGGTGTTGGAGAATCCAGAAAATTAGGATTTGAGGGAACACAAAGAGTAAATGCACCTGCGCTATTGCAAACGGTTTTGAGCCACGTCATTCAGGGTCTCTAACCATCGATTATTATCATCTCGCGGACCCCAACCAGGTAATCAACAATGAAATTCAACAATCTACATAACTTTATATAGTTGTATAATAATATATCACGAATTTATTGAGGTAAGAAGATATTTGATAAAGCATTGGATGTCAACTCTCAATGCTTTGCAAAGATTAAGCCCTACCACCCACTAAACTGAAAATTCTCAGCATTGAAATTATTAATGCTAACACTTCTGAACAGTAATACACCACAACCACAGTAGGAAGATACAAGTGTCTAGTTTTTCTTTGTATTGAATGTTTGTTTCATTGAGAATTATTTGATATGTGAACTATGAAATTCACTTATTATTCTTACATTCTTATACTCATCACTGCATTTTTCGTCCATTTTAGGATGATCCCAGAATTATTCGAACAAATAATCAAATCATCAATGGTTCTTTATTAACTCACGAAGCACAACGGCATGTAATGAAAGATTTAGGCCCATTACCGGTAAGATTAGTTATTACTGTTACTATTAATAATTCTTTCAATAATTTTGTGTTAAAAAATGTCCTACATAAGTTTATAAATTAAGAGCTAACTTTTGGTGGTCGATAGGGAAATACTTTGATGTGCAGACTTCCGACTGACACTTCAACCTAATTGGCCGATTTTTCAATCTGAGCTACCGCGGTTCGAATCATTCACTCAACTAACAAAGTAGTTTATACTTTTAAAACGTACTTACGACTGTTACCCTTAATGGAGCGTTGACAGCCGACCGGCGAATTATTTTTTAAGCGAGTTGGATTTCTACAGGATGGGGTCGCTAACCCTCGCTCCCAATCCTCCTCCTTTATCCGGGCTTCGGATGGTCAGTAACTTCAGAAGGGTTTTAGGTGGAGTGTTTTGTTTTTAAAAATAAGTACACAAATTTGTACGTACATCATAAAATGAATTGCACATTTAGTTCAACATTCATCATGAACCCACTGGTGGTAGTAGTAACTCAGAATCTGATGCGTGTAGTAGTCGTAGTCGTATCAAATATATCAACATCAAGCATCGTGTCCTGTTGACTACTACCTTGTGGTTGTGGTGTTTGGTTCTCTGAGCTGGGTGTTTTGGTTGTGGAGCTTTCATTGTTCTTCTGAACAACATCATCAGCACAAACTTCAGATAGAAGTGAAGCATTCGAATTTCTCCACGTTTGACCTGTAGCTTGTTCTGCTAACCTCGATCTTGATTGGTTGCTGTTGACCTTAAACCTGTCTTCGTTTGCACCAGCTCAGAGAACCGAACACCAGTGTGCTTGCTGCAGTGTGTCTTCGCTCTCTTGAACAAAGTTTGTATGCAGTTGGTTTTGTGGGTTCTTGGGTTGTTGCTGTCGTAGTTGAGAATCACGTCCAATCGCTGACCAACTTACAATTCAACATCATGCAAACAATGTCATTGTGCTTTGACTCGAATCACTCATTATATTATGCAACATAATCAAGTACAACAATTTAAAATCCCTCATCGCTTACAAACAACCACTTGATCTACACAATATGAAATTGATTTTTTTACTTGTTAAAACAGAATCAAATCCATTTTATCTTGTTTTTCTTTCTAATGATAATCCCCGTGGATTCTTTTCTCCAGTCTGTCAGTTTTTCTTTTAAACTATTGTAAACAATTATAAACCAACATGTAAATAAATCCAATGTGTGTAATTCAAAACAATTGTTTATTAAAATAAATAAATAAATAAATGTCATTTTATTTATAAATAGTAATAATAATCATCGTCATTTGATTTCACCTTAAATTTATTTATTCTCTGTTTTCTATATACAGTAAACAAGTGTAATTAATAATGAACCCAGTCCCTTTTTGCTTTTATTCTTTTTGCCTTCGTCATATTTATGCAAACATATCTATATAGACATACATATTATATGTGTGTCATTGAATTAATTGACTTGCTGTGTATGTTTCATGAATTCATTTCGCCTGCTCGCGCGTGCTCTCTCTCTTTCCCTTCTTGCTATGACAATGCATTTCTCGATTATAATCTGTTTATAATTTGTCATTAAGTAAACATGACTTTTCATAGATTGATGTGTACATTACCATGTCTATAGGGAGATGTTGGTTGTTTGTATTACATATATATATATATATATATATATATATATATATATTTACAAAAGTGTTTATGCTGGAATTTCATTCATTCTCTGAGCTGAATGTTTCTTTTGGATTGTGGAGCTTTCATTGTTCTTCTTCTGATTATTGTCAGTAATACAAACTTCAGATAGAAAAAGTGAAGCATTCTCCATGTGTAACTGTTGATGTTGTTCAGAAGAACAATGAAAGCTCCACATCCAAAAAAAAACACAACCATCATCCACTACCTATACTACAAATTTACTCCATCATTTGCAAATGTTTATGTGGTGGGTAGATGTTGAATGCACATTCTTGTGCAAGATCGCAGGTCCTGAGTCCGATTTCCGGACAACAGGGTCATGGATCACATTGTTGACAAGTCCCATAGTAGGTTTGACAACAATCTCCACAACTGTATAACTAATTAAAATTAATAACTGAAATTCCAGTTATTGATTTATTTATTCTGAACAAGTGACTTGCATTCAATGTGATTAAAAAAAAAGTTTTTTCGAAAGTCTAATCTCTCAATTTGTCTGCTGATCACGTATATCGCTATTATTTTTTTTGATTGTTGTACCATCGACTTTTTTCTACCGTTCTCCTTATCTAATCTTTCTTCGTGTTTTGTTGTTTTTTTTCGTCTTAAATTAAATAGCCTGGTTGGGAAGAACGTGTACATAGCAATGGTCGTATTTTCTATATTAATCATAGTAAGTTAAAATTCTTAACAGTTAAAATTGTTTAATGTGATAATTGTTACCAGAGAAGATGTGTGTGTGTGGGGGGGGCGGTTTGTTTACTTGCTTTGGCATATTATGTACAGAATATTATTATTATTATTATTATTATTATTATTATTATTATGGCCAGTGTATTTCGCTAGGGTATATTCACCTCTTAATTCTTACTTATTTAGGATACATTGAAATCATGAATGAATCGTTGTTAGACCATCAAGAGAAACCTTAGAGCGCTGGACGGCTTCTTCGTTCTGGTAGGGGACTCGCAGGATCCAAACCTAGGATCTTCAGTCTCGCGCGTGAACGCCTAACCTCTGGACCACTGAACCGTCATTCGACGGTGTTAGTCTAACTCGGATCGATCTAAGCATTTTGCCTTGAAATCATTGTTAAACCACCATTAGGAATCGCGAAGCAATAGACGGCCGTTTCGTCCTGGTATGGAAATCACCATCAGTGTGCATCTACGACTGTTGTTACTCTCAGTATTCGAACCTAAGACCTTCTGTCTCTCGCGTGACTGCTTAGTCTCCTCTAGACCAATTAGTTGGTATCCAACGGTTTTAATATTTTACTCTGATGAACTTTAGGATTTTGGGCAACCCCACCGGTTTTGTTCGGTAGTTACTGCCTACACTCGACAGGGTTGAACTCCACTGGTCACGTCTCCGCGCTAGAACTCCAAGAATTTCCTCAAAAAGCTAGTTACTTGTGAGCACATAGATAGGATGTGGCTAACAGGATCTTGTCAACCGAATGTGCCTGCGTATCAGTGTTGATGTTCGCTCCGGGATTCCAAATTAGTATCCTTCGCTTTAGACGCCATCTTTCTATCCACTTAGCTTCGGATTCCTGGAGTCAACATCAACTCTGAGACACAGGTACATCCAGCCACACAAACAAGTCCTAAAGAGGACGAAACGTGCTTCCTAGATAACATTGCTAGCCACATTCTATCTATTCTTTACAAATTTTTGTCATTATGGTCATATATTGAGACCATTTGCATGAGATACGCATATGCACCAATCAAGACTGATCAAATTTCAGCCCAATATATCAACAACGGGATAATGCAAACCATTTCAAATCGAATTCATTGTTACTGTTGTTGCTTTTAACCTACTTATCACCACTGGGTTTTGTATCATACTATTTTGATGATCGGAGTGATTGATCAACACATGTATGTGTGTACAGTGGCAGCTAGATCTATGTTTCATGCTGTTTCGTACTCGTCAGCAAGATGCATCGGAAATTTAAAAAAAAATGACACTCCTGGAGTCGATCTTGTGTCATTCAGCTTCTCACAGTCATAGATGTTGCCACAAAGCTATTGGGGTAACTATTTGGGTTGAACTGAAATATATTTGCAACGGATTGATCACTGTTTAGTGACCAATATTATGGATCTCGAGTGGTTCTTTGTTGATTATTTTGTTTGAAGTTAAATAAATGAGTTTTAGTTTTCTTTTTTGATACACTTGACCTCCATGCTCTGAGGTCACACAATTAAGTATATTAATGAATCAATATGCCACTCGTAGAAGCAAGAAGAACTGAAAAAAAGGAGGCATCTACAAAATTTTTCTGTATTTATCCTCTCAACATTTTTTTTGCGCAATGTGAATATCACAACAGTTTTTTAAAATAATTAACAAGTAAACAAACACCGGTTTTATACTCTGTCTTGCATAGGTCATTGCTATCGAGTACATTATATTCGACATTTGCATTATACAACATGGTAAAATAGTTGCATTTAATTTAACACTAATCAATTACATTATCTTTTCAGTACTTGCTTACTCATGTTACCCCCAATCGAGTATAGGCCGCCGACTAGCATTCTCCAATCTACTCTTTCCTGAGCCTTCCTTTCTAGTTCTATCCAATTGTTCATTTTTTTCACGTTCGCCTCCAGTTCTCGGCGTAATGTGTTCTGTTCCTCTTGTCCTTTGACCATGAGGGGGTTCCAAGTGAGGGCTTGTCTTGTGACGTAGTCGGGTGCTTTCCTCAATGTATGTTCTGTCCACTTGCAGCGCTTTTTCCTGATTCCTTCCTCAGTTGGAATCTGGTTTGTTTTCTCCCACAGTAGGTTGTTGCTGATGGTGTCTGGCCAGCAGTCCGAAGTATTTTTCGCAGACAACTTTTCATCAATAAGTAAATGAATACCTTCATATCTGTATCAAATCCACCTTATTTATCAATTATGCTCCCTAAATATGTAAAGGCTTTTACGTCCTCCAAAACTTCTCCGTTAATTGTGATTTGGTTGGTTGCACTGTATCAAAGAATCTTGCTTTTCTTTTTGTGTTATGTTGGGTCTTAATCCTGCAGAGGCTGTTGCTACACTGGTCGTCTTCTGCATTTGTTGTTGCGTGTGGGATAGAATAGCCAGATCATCTGCGAAGTCTAGACCGTCCAGCTGTATCTTAGCTTTCCACTGTATCTCGTCCTCCCCAGATGTTGACGTCTTCATAATCCAGTCGATCACCAAGCCAACTTGCTTAACACCGGTCTGTGACCTGTCCTATTATCCTTTTGTTACAATGTTATAATTTGAAATAAAAGAAACTTCACTAACATTCATTCAACGTGTTAATTTGAATTTATTGTTCAACTGCATGGATTAATTGGATGTAGAGGTTTTCATTGCTCTTCTGAACAGCATCATTGTCAACACAGACTTTTCAGGTAAAAGAAGTGAATTGTTTGAATTTTCCCCTACGTATAATTCGTAGCTTGTTCTATTGACCTCGATCTTGATTGGTTGTTGTTGTTGACCCTTAACCTGTCATTGTCCTCCTCTTCATTTCGATACATCCCTCTTTACTCTTTCTCTTGATCCTATGTTTTTCTGTCATTTTTCTGGTTGGTTGATAAATTGAATCATTGTCGATGTGTTGATGTTGAATGCTGATTAACTTGAGTGCCAAGCCTCTAAAAATTCTCTAGTGTTCTTTGTTCTTCTCTCTCTATCCAGTATTTCAACATTTTTTTTCTAGTCGAATGTATGTTCACAGTTGTCTGCATGTATTCAATATAAGGGAAGAAATATCATGGAGTTTAACTGCTAATTGATGGTTCACATAGGCGAAGAAGTCGTCATTGTTATTGTTCACTTATGAAAAATTTATTTTCTTTAGTTATTAATTACATTTATAAACTTCAGTCATCTTCTTTATATGTAACTTTGTGTTTTAACCAATGAAATACTGACCAATCTTTAAAAAAAAAAATAGATACTCAGACACAATGTTTGCTCGTTTTTCTTTCTTATGTCGTCTGAAATTAAATTCCATTGATTATGTTACGTAATAAAATATTTTTACTATGATAATAATAATAATAATAACAACCTTGAAATGATAAGTGAATCAGTGTTAGACCACTATTAGAATCCTGAACACAATAATTCATTCATGATATCCAGGTAAAAACTGTCATTTACATAATACGAAATTAAAAAAATGTGCTCACTAGTGAATAGTTTCGTGAGGCTCTCAGAATTCTAGTGAGAAAACGTGACCAGTGGAGTTCAACCTTGTCGGGTATAATTAAGTACCTGATAAAGATAATAGGTAAGGTTTCGTAATACCTTAGAGTTAGACATTAACATCATTGGATGCTGGATCACTGGTCTACAGGAGGTTAGGCGTTCGCGCACAAAACCAAAGGTCCTACAAGCAGCATGATTCGTGGATGCACAGTGCTAATGAGTCCTACGGCGAGATGAAACGGTCGTCCAGTGCTTCCTGAAACTTCATCAGTTGAGGAAGTTGGGACATGTGTTGCGTATGCCTAATCACCGACTGCTTCGTCGAGCTTTGTTTTGTATTGTAGGAATAGGTTGGAAGAAAGCTAGGAGAGGCCAAACCAAAACATGGCACAAATCCATGAAGTCATTGACAAGTGGACTGAGCCATGTCGGTAGTTGTCGACTACCTGGTTGGGGTCCGTGAGATGATAATAATCGATGGTTAGATACCCTGAATGACATGGCTCTAAACCGTTTGCAATAGCGCAAGTGCATTTACTCTTTGTGTTCTCTCAAGTCTAAACCTTCTGAATTCCTCATCACCTCTATCTTCCTCCTCCTAAATTTACCTCACTGACTTATACTTCCTGAATAATATCTTCTCATCCTAACCTCTGTGATTACTTCTAATTCCCTTACTACCTCTACTACTATTGGATTTGAACTGACAATTACATCTCTGTGTGTGCTAATGTGGTATGGCAACATGAACTGATGTACTTACATACGAAGTTCTACGTTGCATCTGACTGACTGACCAGTGCTTTCAGGTTTCTAATAGTAGTGGTCTAATAATGATTCATTCATCATATCAAGGTATACATAGCTATCATCTCAATTAATTATACTCTAATACAAAATAATAATAATAATATTGCTAATGTAAAGTTTAAACCCCTTTTCGCTTCTAATCAGACAAATCTTGAAATATTATCAATTCGTGTTATTCTGTAAATTGTATAATATGTAAGAAAAAATGTAGACATTTTTCTTATCACTATTATTAGAGGTGAAAAGTTTAAGAAAAATTTAAATTGAATTTTAATCGAGCATATTTTTCTTCTTGTTTTGTTATTATTTTAATAGATGCACGAACTACTCAATGGGAAGATCCTCGTCTAGAACGTTTAGGTGGTCCAGCTGTTCCTTATTCAAGAAATTATAAACAAAAATATGATTATTTCCGATCAAGATTACGTGCTCCACGTGATCCACAGGCGAAATTTGAATTACGTGTTACACGAGCTGGTATATTTGAAGATTCATTTCGTTTAATTTATGGCATAAAAAGACCAGAAGTTTTAATGCATCGGTAAGTTTATTTATTTACACATTGTGGTTAAGGTGGTTAGTCGGTAAAAAAAAATCATAAATTTAACGTTAATACTAGTTGTCACTGGCCAGAAAGCTGTACACCTCCTGCACTTTGTGACAAATCGACCCTTGTTTTCTCACAAAGCTTTACTATCTTAGACGTCTTCATTGAGCTTTTCGGGCCTCTACTGACCTGCTGAACTAAAATATTTACAATTAATGGGATATTTAGTTGACTGATAAGCACTTTTCTGCTTTTTGCCCTCAAGAATTCCTTGAGAAACACTCGTCAAGCTGGAAAAAGGTTAAAAACATCCTATCCAAACAGCATCGAATAGATTTTTCTTAGAAAAGTCTAGAGGAATCAAGGATTATATCGTACGACTTGACTGAATAATTGTCTACCATTGGCAATAATTTGTAGCTCAAGTTGATGATTATGGTGGGATTTCGTTCTCTGAGCTAGATTACTTGGTCATGGAGATTGTATTCTTCTTCTTAATAACCTCATCATCAGCACAAACACCAGTTAGAAGTAAGGTATTCAAATATCTCCACATATGACTTGTACCTTGTCTTGACGATTTCGATCTTGATTGGTTGTTATTGACGTTGTATGCCTCTGTCAATAATAACCAATTAAGATTGCAGTCTACAAGACAGGGTACGAATTATACATGGAGATATTTAAAATACCTTACTTCTAACTGGTTGGTGATGAGGGTATTAAGAAGAACAGTATAATCTCCATGATCAAGTCATCTAGCTTAGAAAATGAAACTCCATCGACTGGAATAAATTTTAAACTTTAGTTTTATCTTTTTTTCTTCTACTGAAAATTTTAGATTATGGATTGAATTTATTGGTGAAAAAGGTTTAGATTATGGTGGTGTACAGAGAGAATGGTTTTTCTTATTATCACGTGAAATGTTCAATCCTTATTACGGTTTATTCGAGTATTCAGCTGCGTAAGTTTTGCTTCTTCTATATTTATGTATGTATAAATGTCCATTCTTTGAAAGATTTTACTTCTGGAAATAGAAAGCTGTATGCTCACGCAATATATGATATTTTAGGTTGAAATATTTTGTTACTTCTCCGTTTCTTTGGTTCTTTTAATGCCTTCATAACTCTGCATTTAACTATACTACTTCATTGTTAAAAACCATAAGTTTGCTACTGTTCTCTAATCGATCTGCTTGACTTAGTTGAGTACTTAAAGAAATAATTGTTGCTGGTAATATAACTTAACCGAGTCATTATGATAAACAAGCTTGACTAACCACTTCAAGTTAGCAGCTACAGTTCAGGTTTCATCATGCAGTTTATTCAATCACGTATATACAATATTAACCCTTTTAGGGTTACAGGCAGTCCCAAAAAACCCGGATAAAAGAGTCCTGCTTCATAGTAATAATATAAACGATCAAAGGGAGATCAAAGCAAAAGCTTGTGTAGTGTTTATACAGACAGACAGATACAACACAGAACTTCGTACGTAAGTACATCAGTTCAGGTTGCTATGCCGCATCAGCACAGAGACGCAGCTGTCAGTTCAAATCCAAGAGTGATAGCAATAACAGAAGTATTAGCAATTCATCAATTCACCCCTAATCTCTGTGTACTAATAATCCAACATATACAATTTCTCAACTTATTAAGGCTCTAACACCTCATTTAATCTGCTTTCTTATTTTACATTGTAACCAATGATCAGTTATTATTATTATTGTTATAGCGTGGAGATTGTTGAATTTCATTGAAATTTAGTGATCTTCAGGTTAAGCGTTTGTTCGCTCGAGACAGAAAGTCCTGGATTCGATTCTCGTGTGCGTAGCTGCGCACTGCTGACGAGTAGTCAGTCAGTCAGTTGCAACGTAGAATTTCGTACGTATGTACATAAGTTCATGTTGCCATACCACATTAGCACAGAGACTCAAATTTCGAATCAAATCCCATAGTGATAAAGATAGTAGAGGTATTAATGGTAATGAAGAAGACTAGGGGGTTCGAAGATATGATTCAAGAAGTATAATTCAGTGAGATAAGGTTAGAAAGACAAAGGTAGAGGTGCTGACGAATCCAGAAGATTAGGATTTGAGAGAAGACAAAGAGTGGATGCACCTGCGCCATTGCAAACGATTTTGAGCCATGTCGTTCAAGGTCTCTAACCATTGGTGACTTTCGTTTCGCGGACCCCAACCAGGTAGCCAGCCCTACATCTACCAACATGACTCAGTCCACTAGTCAGTGACTTCATGGATTTGTGCCATGTTATGGTCTGGCCGCCCCTAACTTTCTTCCAACCTACTCCTACACCATAAAACATAGCTCGTCGAGGCAGTCGGTGGTTAGCCATACCGACTGCCTGGACGAGCTGACGAGTAGTAGTCCCACTTACTAGGACGAAACAACCGTCTAGTGATTTCAGACCTCTAAGTGGTGGTGATTATCTACCAATGATCGATTCACATGATTTCAATTAACTTACTAGTTGACTAGTTAGTTAGTTAGTTAGTTTATTTATTTGTTCAGTTACACCTTATCGAATGTACACATACATGAATGCATTTATTGACTAGAAAAATGTAATGCATTTACATTTCCTCTTCTAATTCCCCATTCTTCCATTATTGCGTATGCTAATATTGTTATTGTTGTTAAATAAATTTAATAAATAATAATAATAATAATAATAATAATAATAATCAGTCTAGTAAATACCACCAGCTGTGAAATAGTTCATCCTTAGTGTTACTACCAGTATGGTATATATACCTTTCATTGATTCATTTTCTGTTATATATATATATATATATATATATATATATATATATATATATATATATATTGTTAAAGGAAAGTTCAGAATTTCTCTTTGTGTTTATATACCCCTGTGTGTGTATGTGTTGTATGTGTGTTTTTTTATCACTTGAGTGAAATTCTTTTTTTTGTTGCTTAAACATAGAAAAAAAAAGGAATACACAATAATGGAAAGAAGGAACAAATGTAAAATAAATAAATAATTCTCTATGATTCACCTAATTTTATGGGTGGTGGTGATTAAATTTTGTAAATTAATTACTAGTTATGTGTCTGTGTGTGTGGGGGGGGGGAGAGGGGGAGAGAGAATAATTGACCCAGTGTGTGTTTTCAACAACTACCATAATACTCCATAATACTGTAATACAGAATCAAATATATGCTCACTAGTGACTAGTTTCGTGAGAAAGTCCTGGGAATCGTAGTGAGAAGATGTGACCAATGGAGCTCAGTCTTGTCGGATGTAGGCAGTAACTACCGTAAGCGAATGGGTAAGGTTGCGCGAAAATCCTTAGATTGATCCCAGTTAGACACTATCAGCCGTTGTACGCCGGCTCAGTAGTGTAAACGTTAAGCGTAAGGCCGAAGGTCCTGGGTTCGATTCCTGCGATTAGCGGGAGTCGTGGATACACACTGCCAATAAGTACCATACTAGTACGAAACGGCCGTTCAGTGCTTCCAGATTTCTAATGGTGGTCTAAGACTGATCGATTCATACTTTCAATTATATTTTCCTTCCATTTCCTGAAATCGTATTGTAAGACTCAAAATTACATCTGACTGACCATATTTTCTACGTTTAGAGTTTTTCTTTTTAAAGATTTATTTTTGGTACAAAGAGGTACCAAAGTATGTTTGATAGCCAAAATACTGCACGAATGCCCAAACTGAAGAGGTTGGTTGTTTTAGAGGACCACTTTCCGAGACTTCCATCTTCAAGTCCAATGTTGTATAGGGTAACAAATAAACGTCAGAACATGCACGTAGGATTTAATTTGTCCTACAGATGTACTGTTATAATTATGAACGCGATACTGGCGAGCACAGAGTGTATGTGAAAGCTGTAGTCAGAACAAGGACAACTTGGCTTTAAACTTTATCTGTTTCTAAACATAAAAACAATTAGATTAGTACAATAATTATTGAGGAAATTACAGTTATCAAGTGAAACAAGCAACACATACCGACCAATAGAGCGTGTCTTATTGGAAATGAATACAATTGAGTCTCATCAATATAATAAGATAATAATGACCTTCAATTAGTAGGTCATTAACAACAAAGATAGTTTACAGACACGTCAGACTAGATCACGTGGTGAGCGCTTAAACCATAATTTGATTGGTTGGTTTTGGAAATAATTAACAACGCAGTCTTATGATAACTGGTTCATACGCCATTCGTTCCTTCATGATCTTGAAGCTCATATGTGATGTCTGCTGGGATCAGGGCATTCCAAATCCTGTAGGTGGGTCCTCTTTACCCACTAGACTGGTCTGTACAGCAGCCAGTGGGTAGGTCTTCCCTGATAGTGGATATCCACACGTCGCTATACAAAAGCTTTTCAAGGGGGGGGGAAGGATTCTCTTAACCTTAAGTCATACTGGGGCATTTCGCGGCTTCACTTCAACGTTATTTCATGTAAAGGAAATCAAGAGCATTTCTGGAGTTGCTTGTAAATTCAATTTTCCAATAATTTCTGTGAAAATACCAAATATAATAATAGGTATTTGTTCGATCAAAAGTCTGAAAACATGTGGTCTTTTATTTTGCTAAATATGTCTAAGTAAACTCAAATAAGAATTTTACTGGGGTTTTCTGCGCTTCGAGAGATTTCGACTTGAGATATTTAATGACTGCCTAACAAGTACATGAAGTGAAACTTCTATATATTGTGAAGAGAGACTTTGTGATAACATCTATGATAAATATTTTTCATCTTTGTATCTAATTTGTTTAAGATTAAAGTAAAACACTTGCATTTCGCTCCTTTTTCTCAGCTGTTCTAGTTGATTTGTAGTAGTTTGAGCTTATAAAGAGTGCCTATTAAGTCAGTCATAATCATTCTAGCAGTTGATTTATCCGTTTTTAATGAAGAGCGTTTTTGTAATAAAAGAAATGCGGAAGCCATTCATTGAAAACTGAATGGATTCAGTGATATATTTCAAGAAGACAACACAGTTTACTAGTCAGATGTATACACTTAATATCTTCAAACTTCCATTTGCAAAACTAGCATAGTTATTAGATGTCTTCTGGCCTTCAAAACACTGATCGCAACACACACACGAATCTGACACTTCTTTCCAGTAGTGACTTCTGGATGATACCTTCGCTGCATACTATTCGTATGCTACCTTGTGAGTAACATCCACAATATTGGGTTTGAGTTCTGTATTGAATATCAACTCTGAGATACAGGTACATTCAGCTACAGATGAGTCCCAAATAGGACAAAACGGTCTTCCTGGATCCCACATTCTATCTATTCTATGTAGGATAGCCCAAATACTGAAGGTAGCTGGAGTTATTTATTTTTCTTAATTTCGCATATTAGAGCGTTATGGAGATGAATGAGTCATTGATAGATCACCATTAGAAATCTCAAAGCACTAGACGGCCGTTTTGTACTTGTGTGGGTGTTAGGATATTCATCCAATATCCTAAGACAATTATTGGTCAATTCCTATTGGTTAATTCTTACTGGTCAATTTTATCGTCGTCCTAGATAATAATGTCACGTGCTCCAATGTTGTTTCCCATTGGTCGTCCTGACTATCAATGTCACTTCAAATGTTACTTCCTATCGGTCGTCATAACTGTCAATGCCACAGACTTCGATGCTCTTTCTCATTGGACCAAAATGTATAAATACGCATTATCTGTAACGTTTTATGACCAGGACCAGGACCCGGTCCCGGATCCCTAGTCCGGGATCCTGATTCTCTTCTGGATTCGGACCTCGTACTTTCTGAATGCTTGTAGAATACAGGTTCTACTTCATATCAAGTCTTCTTATTTTTACTCAATATGGGGGTTGGGATAATCGGATTTGAGTAGCATGTCGTGTCGCCGGATCCTCGATCCTCGCTCTCGCATTTCCGATTATTTAAACTCGTAATAGATCAAGTATATCAATTTGACGTGTTTACGTGCAGGCGTAACAGAGGGACCTATCAGCAATGCGCATCCACAAATCATGCTGCTCGCAAGATTCAAACACGGGACCTTTAGTCTTGCGTGCGAATGCCTAACCTCCTGTAGACCAGTGAGCCAACATCCAACGGTGGTAATGTCTTACTTCGACCAATCTCTCTCATCGTGTTCGGTGGTTACTGCCTACATCCGACAGGGTTTAACTCCACTAGCTTTAACAGCAACATGTTCACCACGGAATATATATATATATATATATATATATATATATATATATTCCTAAGGAGTTCATTTCTTACGCTAGAACATCAATTCCTTGCTAGTTGTTTTTTTCCCATCTTATTCCTTGTTTGTTTTTCTTTCCTTATTTTTTTTTATATCACCAAGTGATAATTATACACTTCAAATTAATCCTTTATCTGGTATGGCAAATGAAGAACATTTGAAATATTTCAAATTTATTGGTCGTGTTATTGGTATGGCTATATATCATGGCAAATTAATTGATGGATTTTTTATACGTCCATTTTATAAAATGATGCTTGGTAAAACAATTTCATTAAAAGATATGGAATCAGTTGATTCGGAATATTATCGTAGTTTAAAATATATCCTGAAAGAAGATCCTGTCTCATTAGATTTATCCATGTCTGTGGAAGAAGAGCATTTTGGTGAAACAGTGGAAATTGATCTGATTAAAGATGGTCGAAATATACGCGTGACTAATAATAATAAAACACAATATATAGAGTAAGTATTATTATTATTATGATGATGATGATTGGTTTTATCATTTAGTTATGTACTATATTCATTTGTTCTCTTATCAGTTAGTTATTAACGATATATTTACTGACTGACTGACTTACTTACGCCGACGACCAGCATTCTCCAACCGACTCTGTCCTGAGCCTTCCTTCCTAGTTCATTCTTTTCACGTTTGTTTCCAATTCTCGGCGTAATGTGTTCTTCGGTGTCTTCCTCTTATCCTTTGACCATGAGGGTTCCAAGTGAGGGCTTGTCTTGTGACGCAGTTGGATGCTTTCCGCAGTGTGTCCTATCCACTTCCAGCGCTTCTTCCTAATTTCTTCTTCAACCGGAGTCTGGTTTGTTCTTTCCCACAGTAGGTTGTTGCTGATGGTGTCCAGCCAATAAATCCGGAGCATATTGCGTAGACAACAGTTAAAAAACACCTGTAGTTTCTTTTGAATCATGGCATTACTGATAGAGTCCTTGACAATTGACATTATTGTGAAAGCGATGAAAATGTGACAATTGAGCATGGAGATTATAGTTTGTAAAGACAGAGCGAATACCTATGTCGCATGACGATCCCGCTTACATGACTGTCAAGCTCGTTAATATTAGCAATGGTGATATTCAATACAGCACCCCAACGACAATGACCCTCGGGAATGTTGCACAAACAACCCATCAGTATCAATAAAATCGGTTACCCTGCTAACCAATTTTTGTACATTGACTCTTAGCAATGCTTAGCCATCCACAATGTTCACAATGAACCTCTGGTTTCATAGGAAACCTTCTGCTCTATATAGCAGTTTAGCACATGGTATGCACCTAGTATAGCATAGGATAGCAAGGGATGCAGCCCGCTCGATGCAATTTGGCTCAAACACTCTTATTACCCTTTCTCTCATGTCGCACCACGAAATTTTTCATTTTCCTACTATTGAGACTTCAGTTAGGGGTAGTAATCCCTTATTTAGCTTATATTTTACTACATTCGGTTCTCTGTGATACTGTTGATTATAAACCTTTAAACTATTTAGAAAATATTAACATTGATGTTATTTCGATATCTCTGTCCTGGTTTGATTTTCGCGAAGAAGGATTGTGGTTGAGCACTGATGGTGAGCTCCATACCAAGACGAAATGGCCGTCCGGTGATTTCAAGTTTCTAATTGTGGTCTAAGAATGATTGCTTGACGATTTCAATGTAAAATAACAGTCTCCATAACTCTACAACGAAAAAATGTACGTTTATATGTTGGTTTATATGTCAGTTATATATCTTGATTCATAAATCTGTTGGCTCGTATTATTTCACTACATCAGCACGTGATAGAACTAAAGGGTCATATAGCTATAAAATCGAGTTCATATATAGAAATATTGACCATAAGAACTCTAAATATACCGCGGGAAATATAAAGTGAATATTGCATCATTGTGACCGATTCTGGGTCATGTCACTCGACCTTTCTAACGCACACACTGATCATGATTATCGAATAGACCTCAACTACATAGTCTCCACATATGAACACGACTCAGATCAATGTTAAATCTTTTTCGTAGATGGGTGCTATGTATTGGTTTGACTGTTCTTAGCTTACTTTTAACGTACGTCTACACTGACCCACATTGCGCGTCAAATTGAGTAGTCATTAAGGATAGTTCATACGTCAGTGTAGCAGCAGTCCTGAAAATACACTAGGGATAAAGTAAGGTCCTTATCTGCATACAACAGAACATGCGCTAACTAAGTCATGCTCTATGGAGAAGCCTCGAAAACCTTCACCTATTTGAGCGACATCATTGATAAAGAATATGGATCTGATGCAGATGGAAAGGCACGTATCAACAAATCAAGGGCAGCATTTCTACAATTGAAGAACACCCGCAGCTAAAAGCCAATACCCATACTCACAATTTTCAATACAAATGTCAAGATAGTTCGATTGTATGGAATGGAAAATCGGAGAACTTCGAAAACAATTATTCAAAAGACAGATGTATTTATGAACAGTTAGTTATGCAACATACTTCGAATCAGTTGACCTAACATAATTAACAAAAACCAACTATGTAGAAGAACAAACTAGCTCCCATCTGAGGAAGAAATGAGCAAAACACGCCGGAAAAATGGACACATATTTCAGGAATCACTCAAATGCGTCATAAGGCGAAACCTAACGTGAAATCGTCAAAGAGAAAAGCGAAGAGAACACATTGTGTGGAGAATGAATGATAGATAAACTTGAAAAGTATGAATTAAACTTGTGAAGAAAGGGAGAAAGGGAAGCCTTGGATAAACTGGTCAACGGCCTATGCTCTCATTTGTTATTGCTTACTATACATTCATTGATTTACTCAGTGTTTACACAACACTTTCGAAAGGAGACATCAATACAATCATTGAATTGGCTTGCTTCACAAATAATAAATAGTAAAGCCTAGTGTGCCTTTAGACTTCAACATTTAAATAGTATTATTCAGTCTGTTCTTACATACACAAGCACTGTTTTGCCTGCACGTAAACACGTCAACTTGATATACTTGAACTATTACGAGTTTACCTAGTCGGAAACGAGAGCGAGGATCGAGGATCCGGCGACACGACACGCTACTCAGTCAGTCAGATGCAATGTAGAACTTCGTACGTAAGTACATCAGTTCATATCGCCATACCACATCAGCACAGAGATGTAATTTTCAATTCAAATCCAATAGTAGAAGAGATAGTAAAGGTATTAGAAGTAATCGGAGAGGTTAGGATTAGAATCAAATCCTATTATCCCAACCCCCATATTTAGTTAAAATAAGAATACTTGATATGAAGTAGAACCTGTATTCTACAAGCGTCCAGAAAGTACGAGGTCCGAATCCAGAAGAGAATCAGCATCCCGGACTAGGGATCCGGGACCGAGCCCTGGTCCTGGTCGTGTTCATAAAATGTTACAGATAATGCGTATTTATACATTTTGGTCAAATAGGAAATAGCATCGAATTCTGTGACATTGACAGTTAAGACGACCAATAGGAAACAAAATTTGAAGTGACATTGATAGTCAGGACAACCAAAAATGAAGAACATTCGAAATGACATTGACAGTCCGAATGACCTATAAGAGACAACATCTATGTATTTGACTTTGACAGTTAAAACGACCATAATTTTGACCAATAATAATTCTCTTAGGATATTGGATGACTATCCTAACACATACATACACACGCACACACACGCAAAACACTATAGATACTCATGTTAGCTCGAACTATTTGAACTGGTGAATTTTAATTACACTTTAATTATATTATGTTCATTTTCATATTTTTGTCATCTATGTGATGATGATCGTCTCATTAGCGTAAATGTTTTCTCTCTTTGTCTCTCTCTCTCTCTCTGTGTTTAGTTTTAATCGTTTAGATTTACCAGCTTATACAACATTTGAAGAGTTACGATGTAAATTAATTATTGCTATTGAAAATGCTGAAGGATTTGAAGGCGTTGATTGAATGGAGGAAAATATGTGTTGTTATTCATTAATTAATTAGCCCTTTTTCATTAATTTAATATGATTATTTTTATGATTATTACGTCATAAATTATTTGACTTCTATTTTCTTCTTCTTCTCCTTTTTTGTAAAATGCTAACACTAACTACCATATAACTGTTGAATTTTATTGGACATCCTTTGTAAATGACACACTTCTATTGTTTCATAGATTCAATCGTTCATTCATTCAATCAGTCAATAAGGTTGAGTAACGATCGTGATGATGATGTTGCTGTTCGTCGGTGTTTGTTGTTGTTGTTGTATTATAGTCAGTTAATTCATAGATTTTTGAAGACTACCTTATTATACACATGTATTTCTTTATTTATTTTATTTATTTACCCATGAAATGACAAACAACTATCATGTGCATATCATCAATATGTATGTGTGTATGTGTGTGTGTGTATGAGTGAGTAGTTGAATGTCCCTCAATCCCTCCTCTATACGCTAACAATTATCCCATTGTGTATGAATAATAATAATGTGAAGAAAATTTCACTAGTTTGCCCCTGCCCTTCCCCCCTTGTATTTCTTAATGTCAAATAAAAAGACAAAATTAATTTGACATGTCCATTGTACCCCATGCACTATGATGTGTGTATGTGTGTGTATGTGTACATACGCACTATCAGACGTTGTTGTTGTCCTTGTTAATACTACTACTACTGTACATTTCATTTCATAATTTCCAGGTTGTTCAATGACTACTTTTTTTTCAATTTAAAAAGAAAAACTACTACTTTCAACTCTTGTTCCCTTAAATTAGTCCTCCTCTCATTTATTCACACAAAAAGATGAGGAAGATGAAAGCGTTCAAATTATGTTGTACAATAATCTGATTCTCATGAATTTTTCCCATGTTGGATCTAGTTTTTAATCCAAAAATAATACAATGTTTTCCGCTAATCGCCTTCTCGTTCAATGTGTGTGCTCTATGTGCTACCAATCCTGTTTTTATTGTACTATTTCATTTTTGTGTCTCACACACGGACCCACATTGCTAATGAGGCTTTAATTACATCAGCAGCATGTGTGATTATTGGAATGAGCCAATTTTCATTGTTCCGATTTGAAGCCATCAATTCCTGTACACACGTACGCATGCATGTATATCACGATAAGTATTATTATTATTATTATTATTATTATTATTATTATTATTATTATTATTATTATTATTATTGTAATTACAAACAGCTATCAGTTATGTATTCTGCTTCTTTACCCAAACAATGTAAAGGAGATAGATTGATTGACCAATCAGGTGAATTTGTCCCCATAAACAATATTCATCATCAACATCATCATCGTCACCTGTCTTCTCTTTTCTTATTTCCATATTGTCGTTATTGTTATTTTAAATTGATTCTCTGTCACTATCTTTATTTTCAGTTTTATTTGTAACAAACACAAATTAAAAGAGATTTATTTCACAATTTACAAAAATTAACTGAAATAGTTTTTCAATCATTATATAACAAACAGTAGAAATTCAGTAAACAGACAAAACAGTCTAGAGTAAACTAATGCAAACACACACGCACACACATACACCCATCCAAACTCGTATGATCACCGAAATTGGCTCACTGACTACAATCAGAATTTCCATTAAAACTATGATCCAGTCTAGTTGGTTTAGTTTTTCGTGTGTGTGTGTGTGTTCTTGATCTGGTTGTCGGTTTGTATTGATGATCGATACTTATGAATTATTTTTATTTTTTGTTTCTTGCATTTTCAACGTATTTAATGTAAACACAAACAGATAAGGCCATGAAGACAACATCTAAAACGGGAAATATTGTAAGGAACAAAAGTATGTTGAGTGTTCAATGTTTGAAGAGATTTTTTTGTAATATGCAATATATATATATTTGTGTTTATTTTGAATTACGGTTTGTTATAATACGCCAATGGAGTTGTGCGCTTAACTTAACACGGTTCTGGTGAACTAATGATAAGTCGAATTGACTGCTCAAATTAACAGGAACTCAGAAGGTTCGCTTAACTTTATTAACTTATAGTGTAGATAAGATATCTTTTTGTTAGCTAGAGAATAAGTGTTACGCCTGCATGTAAACACGTCATTTTGATATGCTTGAACTATTATGAGTTTACCTAGTCGGAAACGCGAGAGTGATGATCGAGGATCCGGTGACACAACATGCTACTCAAATCCGATTATCCCAACCCCTATATTGAGTAGAAATAAGAAGACAAGATATAAAGTAGAACCTGTATTCTATAAGCATCCAGAAAGTACGAGGTCCGAATCCAGAAGAGAATCAGCATCCCGGACTAGGGATCCGGGGCCGGGTCCTGGTCGTGGTCATAAAACGTTACAGATAATGCGTATTTATACATTTTGGTCGAATAGGAAACAGCATCGAAGTCTGTGACATTGACAGTTAAGACGACCAATAGGAAGTAACATTTGAAGTGACATTGATATTCAGGTCAACCAATAAGAATCAACATTGGAGCACGTGACATTGATATCTAGGACGGCGATAAAATTGACCAGTAGGAATTAACCAATAGGAATAGACCAATAATTCTCTTAGAATATTGGGTGAATATCCCAACACTAAGTATATCATGCAGCGGTTCAATATGGAAATAAAGTGTATTTGTAGGTGTAGTTTATTTGTAGTGTTTGATAATAACTGTCTTCGAAGCACTATCCACATACATTGAGGTAGCAATACTGAGATAAAAGGTTAGAATGGAGGACACTGGATGATAATGACATCATGCGACGACAGGGACTGGGAGAGAGGAATGAAAATCTGTATGCCTTATCACACAAAGCACTTTGGAGGACTCTTCCATAAACCAGCCCGACTGAGTCCACCCAGCATCGAAGCAGCACCTGAAGACATTCCGATTGGTGTTGACCCACCAATAATTGAAGAAATCAACATGGTCATCATACAAATGAGGAGCGGTAAAGATTTAGGAGGAAGAACAAGTACCAACATACTGGAAAGAGGGATACCTCATCGAGATACCAAAGAAAGGAGATTAAAGCAAGTGAAAGAACTACAGAGGCATCACTCTACCCTCAATGCCGGGAGGATTCCGCAACAGAATATAGTTATACCGGATGAAAGTTTCAGTAGACACACCTATCCCAAGTAAAGACCAATGTCAGACAAGGTTGCTTACTCTCACTCTTTCTCTTTATTATGCTCGTTGACTGGATTATGGAAACCTTAACATCTGTGCGGAAGCAAGGGATACCGTGGACAGCTTGAATGAAGCTGCACAATTTGGACTTTGCATATGATCTAACTCTTCTATCCCACACACACCAGCAAACACAGGTTAAGAAAGCGATTGTATAAGCACCTCTCACAGCAGTAGGTCTCAACATGCATATGACAAAGATTAGGGTCCTCGGATACAATACCGTGGGTACTAACCAAATCATAATTGATGGAGAAGCTCTGGAAGATTTGAAAACCTTTATATTCCTAGACAGCATTATCAATAAAAAAAAAGAATGTAATCCAAGTCTGAACGCACGGATAGACGGAGCAAAGGCAGCATTTCCACACTTGAAGAATATCTGGAACAAATTGTTAACCAACACCGCAATCAAAATTTTCAATACAAACATCAATGCAATTCTACTGTATGGAGCGAAAACTTGGAGAACAATGAAAGCCATCATCGGCAAGACACGGGTGTTTACAAACAGACGCCTACGCAAGATACTGCGGATCCATTTGCTGGACACCAACAACAACAACAACAACAAGTCAGCTTCAATATGAGGAAGAAATTGGAAAACAACGCTAGAAATGAACACAAACTGTGAAAATCACCAAACTGCATCACGATCCGAACCCATAACTTGAAACCCTCAATCCAAAGGGAATGAGGTACACCGAAGAATACATTTTGTCGAGAATCTGAGACAGATGCTAAAAACATAAATTGAAATCAGATAGAACTATAAAGGTTTGTTGGAAAACCCTGACCGGTGGCCTATGCCTTACGAAGGATAACAATCGTGTCTCTACACTGAAGTCTCTCTGTACTAAGGTAAGCATATGGTACTGGGTAAAGGTGGCAATTGAGTTGTCTACTTGGGGAATATTGATTAAGGTATTTGGGACGTGTGATACATATGTCGAACGAGATCATTTGATAACCATCAGAAATGTCCTAAAGTACGAGTACGTCAAGAAATGGATTCATTTTCTAGAGGAAAGGATTATTTATACATAGTATTCGGTGGTCAAATAGACTTTCTTACTCGCGACTTCTTGTCCAGGTAATTAGTTTGGGTTGGGTTGTGAACGTGCATCACGTTCAAATCTCGGATATCCCTCATCATCACACACACTGTACAGAATAAAGTAGTTCCTAGTACAGGAGATTTATGTAGATTATATTATTTAGACAGTCAAATTTTGCGAACCGATCTTAGTTAGAACACTGTTGAAAACTTGGAAATATAAGACGCCAATTTTCTCCAAGTATGGTGTTTCATACAATTGTCTGAAAGTTTGTTTTCAAAATTTACTTCATCAACAAACAACTGACCGGTCGTCAGCTATTGACTAAACATCAGCGAAGTATATATATTTGGATGAATAAAATGATGTTTACAATTGTCACTACATCATCGAAACACTTTATCCACTAGAAATGCAGCATATTTGATAAACAAGTCCTCTCCTAGACGAAATCATTCATTCACACTGTTGAACAGTTTCATACTACTTCGGATGGAATAGTTAACTAGTACTGTTTTGTTTTCAATCTAAATAATAATATCAGTCCATGATGTACAATTTTTAACATTACTGAATTCATGAATCGATCAATGTTAGACCACCATGAGAAACCTGGGCGCACCAGACGGGCGTTTCTTCCTGTTACGGGATTCATCAGCAGTGGGCATCCTCTAAACAACAGTCTACATAACTCTATGATGAAAAATCGTACAATGTGCTTACTAGTTACTAATCCTCTGAGATCTTATGAGAAGACGTGACCGGTGGAGCTCACCTTTGTCGGGTGTAGGTAGTCACTACCGAAGACAAACGAATAAGGTCCCATGAAATCTCTAGGTTGACCGGCTCACAGTTAGATTCCGGTACAGAAGTTTGGAGTTCGCGCACATGACTAAAGGTCCTGGTTTCGAGTCCAGTGCTTTCAGGTTTCTAATGGTAGTCTAACAATAAACAACAATCTCGATAACTCTACACTGAAAAATTGTTAACATTTTCCTAAGTGAATTTATAGTAGGCATCTAGTTTTCTTAAATGGTGATATCTAGATGGGATATTTTTGAGAAAACTTTGTTCAAACTCTTTTTATTCATTTTAACGTATGATTAGTTAGGATTATTACCACTTTTTTATTTTTCTGTAATTCAGATCGTGTTTTTTGTTTCTCACATATTTTTAATAAATAAATAACATTCCTCAGATTTCATCAACAATTTTATTGTCTGTGATTATTATCTTCTGTTGCGTGTTTCAATGCTAAATGAGTTTCATCAATCGATATATAAGGTTTTTATCAATAGACTGAATGACTTCTGTTTATGACGAACTACAGATAGAGCTCTATTTGTTGTGATTCGAAACTTTACAGTGTTTTTAACGAGACTTGCCTTCAAGCTAAGATGAGAGAGCTGATGGTGATCACGAATACTCTAGTAAGTCAGTCTCGGTCACCGGTGTGATGTATGAAGAAGTCCAGATCAAAATAAATGTATCAAAATATGTGAACCTTATTGACTGTCTTCTCGTACAAGTTTTCTGGTTTTCAAACTTCATTGATCGCACCATGCACTTCGATTTCTTTCCAGTCTACTCTAGATAACCCTACACTCTATGCTATTTATATGCCACTTCATGAGGAGCATTCACCACACCGACTGCCTTCATATTATAATTACGCTAGCATATTGTGATGATGCAATACAGATCCATTGGCTAGGATACGTGTTCTTTTTGATCGTATTATGCCAGATAGTTCGGTTGTAGAGCAGTTACACTAAGGCTAACAAGTCCGTAGCTGTACTGCTGACAGCACTTAAGTTTAATGACATTAAGGTGTTAACCAGACAACCCTTGTCTTCAGTGATACAGAAATTGATGGTTAGAAAACTGACTTTCGTCAT